GCTTCTGGAGTGTCAGACAGAAAGAATACCAATGCAGGAAAATGACATGGTTTTGTTGTTGTTGTTGTTGTTTGGGTTTTTTGTTGTTGTTGTTGTTGTTTGTTTATTTCCTTTTTGAGATGGAGTCTCACTCTGTTGCCCAGGCTGGAGTGCAGTGGCATGATCTTGGCTTACTTCAGTCTCTACCTCCCAGGTTCAAGTGATTCTCCTGCCTCAGCTGGGATTATAGACGCGTACCACCACAACTGGCTCATTTTTGTGTTTTCAGTAGAGACAGGATTTCACCATGTTGACTAGGCTGATCTTGAACTCCTGACCTCAGGTTATCTGCCCGCCTCGGCCTCCCATGTGCTGGCATCACAGATGTCACTTTTGGCTGGTTATGGTGGCTTCCACCTGTACTCCCGGTACTTTGGGAGGCTGAGGCAAGAGAATTGTTTGAGGCCAGGAGTTTGAGGCCAGCAAAATACGGAGCCACCATGCCTGGCCTTTTTTTTTTTGAGACAGAGTCTCACTCTGTCGCCCAGGCTGGAGTATAGTGGCACAATCTCAGCTCACTGCAACCTCTGTCTCCTAGGTTCAAGTGGTTCTCATGCTTCAGCCTCCTGAGTAGCTGGTACTACAAGCACACACTACCATTCCTGGCTAATTTTTGTATTTTAAATAGAGATGGGGTTTTGCCATGTTGGCTAGGCTGGTCTTGAACTCCTGACCTCAATTGATCTGCCTACCTCAGCATCCCAAAGTGCTGGGATTACAGGCATGAGCCATAGCACCTGGCCCTCTTTTTATATTTCTTAAAAAGGTGTTCAATTAGACATTAATTTTAGCTATGCTAAGGCTGGAGTGCAGGGGCATGATCACAGCTCATTCCAGCTTTGAATTCCTGGGCTCAAGCAGTCCTCCTACCTCAGCCTCCCAAAGTGCTGGGATTATAGGCATGAACCCTTTTATGTAATCCCTTTAGGATAAAAGAGAAGAAATTGTCCAGGCACAACCAGTGACCTTAGAGTCAGCAAGCAAATAGTCTAAAAATGTTAAGGTATAATTTTGTGCTGAAACCAATTGAGTCAGGTTTCTCTCACTTGCAATTGAAAGAGTTTTGAATGATTCAAATATTTGCCATGTTAGATATATAACAACATGATTTATTTTCTCACCAAGAAGACCCAGGGATCAATATTTCCACTGAAGCAACTATTAGTCAAGGCTCGTTTGAAAATAACAATGAACTAAAATCCAAATCAAACTGTTTTAAGGGAAACAAAAGGAATTTATTGGCTCACATATGTGAAATGTCCAGGGGTGAAGCTTCAGGAATGACTGTATCTAGGTGCTGAAATTATACAGTCAGCACTTTCTCCCTCTCTCAGCTTCACCTTCCTTTGTATTGATTTATTTTCATGTAGGTTCTCTCATGGTGGTGGCAAAGATGGACACTAGAAGGCATAGATGTCCACCAGTTTAGCAGCCTCCACTGAAAGAAATCTTAGTTCCAAAAAACTTCCATGTGTTATACTCATTGACTCAGCAAGCATCATGCAGCTCTGAAGAAAGAAAAAATCCCTGTGGTCAGAGAGATGCAGTGCTCTTTATAGCGGCAGCAGGCAGACAAATGCCTAGGCAGATAGGGGCAGGTCCCTGGAGAAACCCCACCTTCATGCTGAAGACAGTTTAAAACCTGAAAGCCAAGCTACAGGTCAAATCCATGGACCAGATTGAGAATCCGTCTTCCCATTTGACATGCTTTCCTCTGATTGATTCCCCACCCTTCACCTATTTTACATATACCTACCCTTTCCTAATTGGTTTTCTACACTGCCATACCCACCTTTGAGGGGTGCCTTTGCTTTAGCCTTTCTTTGCATACTCACAAGCCAATCAGCATGCACTTCCCTATTCTGAGCACATAAAAGCCCCAGACTCAGCCACACTGAGAGAGACCAACTGACAGGGTGGGGGGGTGTGCGGGAGACCACCTCTGCATCCCCTCTCCACTGAGAGCTATTCCATTGCTCAATAAAGTTCTTCTCCACCCTCCTCACCCTTCAATTGTCAGTGTATCCTCATTCTTCTTGGACATGGGACAGGAGCTTAGGAACCGCTGAATGCATGTACATGCTATAACACAGGAGAGCTGGGACACACCTGGCCCAGCCATGGGCTGAGCCAATGCACAAGCTAGACTTGGCCCAGGCAGACCGAGTAGGCAGGGCACCTCCTGCAGCAGGTAGCATGCCTGAGCAAGGCCCAGGTGGTGGTTGCACCAGCTGGAGGACCCTGGCTGGCAAAATGACTGAGAAAAATCCTGCATCACTCTGGCCAAGCCTAGGTTACATGCCTGCCATATTTATCAGGGGTGGAATTAGCTTTACCCCAGTCATGTAGACTGACAGTGGGGAAGGGGTAGTTCTGGAAACCAAAATCAATGTGCTATTACTTAAACACAGAGAGAAAGAGACAGAGAGACAGAGACAGAGAGACAGAGAGAAAGAGAGGGGATGCTGGGTAGGGAAAGTAACAAATGTGCAGTTCAATAATCTGACATCCTCCCCAGTTCAATAATCTGACAGCCTCCCCCAGTACCAGCTCCTGGGCTGCATTCTAGTCATCTCTTCTTGATAATTACGTTCACCTAAAAGAAAGAAGCTGAGGCAAAATTAGTATAAGTAAAGAGTTTATTTGGGCCAGGCTTGAGGATTGCAGCCTGGGAGCATAGATTCAAGTTGTCCTGAATATGCACTCTGATTAGCAGCACTTAAAAGTGGATTTTTTTTTTTTTTTTTTTTTTAAAGACAAGGTCTTCCTCTGTTGTCCAGGCTGGAGTGCAATGGTGTGATCATGGCTCACTGCAGTCTCAAACCTCCTAGGCTCAAGCAATTCTCCTGCCTCAGTCTCCCATGTAGCTGGGACCATAGGTGTGTGCCACCATGCCTGGCTAATTTTTTAATATTTTGTAGAGATGGAGTCTCCCTGTTTTGCTGGCCTCAAACTCCTGGCCTCAAACTATCCTCCTGCTTCAGCCTGGGATTACAGGTGGAAGCCACCATAACCAGCCATAAGATTTTTGAAAGTAAAAAGGTGGGGGCAGGTGGTAGGCTGATACAAAGTTGTCAGGAATTCTCACTGGCTTACAAAATTAACATTGATTAGTGATTAGCTATACACTGTTAAACTATAAGGTATGGGTTATAGTGTCCTGTGTGACATTGTTAGGTTGATTTATTGCTACTTTTTGCAAGAGCAAGTAGTTTCTTTCTTTCTTTCTTTTTTTTTTTTTTGAGATGGAGTCTTGCTCTGTCCCCCATGCTGGAGTGTCGTGGCGTGATCTCGGCTCACTGCAAGCTCTGCCTCTGGGGTTCACGCCATTCTTCTCCTGCCTCAGCCTCCCAAGTAGCTGAGACTACAGGCGCACACCACCATGCTTGGCTAATTCCTTTTTGTATTTTTTAGTAGAGACAGGGTTACAGTGTGTTAACCAGGATGGTCTCCATCTCCTAACCACGTGATCCACCCACCTCCGCCTCCCAAAGTGTTGGGATTACAGGCGTGAGCCACTGCTCCCAGCCAATAGCAAGTAGTTTCAAGAGATGAATACATAGTTCAAGGGGAAAGTGGAATGTGATTTGTGTTTCACTTCATGTCTGTCTTAGCCTCACAATTTAAAAGAATTGGCATTCCCAATATAAGAGTTTTTTTCTTTTCCCAATTTGTGTCTTAGAGCTTATAAAGCAGTGAAAATTCGTTTTACTTTTTATATCCACTTGTTTATGTGAATTCTGGTTCATTACATATTTTGACACCAGACTGAGAAATTTTTTGACGGTGGGATGTGGTGGCTCATGCCTGTAATCCCAGCAATTTTGGGAGGCTGAGGTGGGAGGATTGCTTGAGCCCATGAGGTCAAGTGTGCAGTGGGCCATGATCATGCCACTGCATTCCAGCCTGGTGACAGAGTGAAACTGTTTGAAAAAAACAAACAAAACAAAAAAACAAAAAAAAAGAAAAAGAAATGTATTACTCACATTTTGAAACTTTTGGGGAGAGCAGAACAGGTGCCTAAGCCAGTCCAAAAATGGCTTTGACAAAGCAAAAGCAAGTGGCCCTGGGATTACTGCAGTTAGGGGTGGAATGTGGGTGAGCATTCCTGCACAAGGACCCAGGCTTTGTGTGGCTTGAACTTCCCCCTACAGTGCCAAGAGAAGGAGTGCATGGGCTTTCTATTGGCTCACTTACCTGTGGGTAAGAGGGAATCGTGGAAGTGGAGCTTGAAAGTTTTCAGTGGTAGGACACCAAAAATGCAGTCAGGTTCTTTATAATATGGGGTCACATCTTAAATCCCGCCCAGTTTTCTGATACCAAGAGATTCAATGCAATAATATACCATCCATTAACCAATGGATGGTTATGGAATTCTTTCCCTGGTGATTATAACTTTAAAGCATTTTTTTAACCCATCATCCTTTAGTTTATGCCTGTTTAATCTGGAAGGATGTGCAGACACAGTCCATTTCCAGAGAGAGAGAGTAAAGTGATTGTTAGCCAACCATAAACACATACGGAGGCACCCTTCACTTTGTACTGTGGCACCTAGCCCACACAAGTGAGGAATGCTTCTGTTTGTACTCTCTCGCTGTCGTATTATCCTGTCCATGAGCCCCTCGGTTTGTTTTTTATTTTGTTCTTCTGCCCCTCCTAAGATACCAGATTCATTCTTGAGACCAGCCAGGCAGCCTTGGTGTTGACCCACTAGCGGTGGGGCAGCTGCACCTGATCCTTAGCCTGTGTTACTGGACAGGTGTCAAATCTTTAAAGTAAAAACAAAATCCTAAACCCTGGCTGGGCCTGGTGCCTCATGCCTATAAGGCTAGCAATTTGAAAGGTTGAAGTGGAAGGATCTCTTGAGCCCAGGAGTTGGAGACCAGCCTAGGCAACATAGTGAGACCTTATCTCTACTAAAATTTTTTTTTTTTAAATTAGCTGGGTATTAACTTTGAAATTTACTGCTTTTGGTCAAAATCCACTCTTCAGCTAATGCTTTCTTCCAGCTGGTTGTCTTCTTGCCTGCCCTGTGTTGTAAAGTGAGGGTCCCTGACTGCATTATCAAGGGGAAGGCAAGACTGGGACGTCTAGTCCACCGGAAGACCTGCTCCACTGTCGCCTTCACACAGGTGAACTCAGAAGACAAAGGCGCTTTGGCTAAGCTTGTGGACGCTATCAGGACCAATTACAACGACAAACACGATGAGATCCGCCATCACTGGGGCGGCAATGTCCTGGGTCCCAAGTCTGTGGCTCGCATCGCCAAGCTTGTAAAGGCGAAGGCTAAAGAACTTGCCACTAAACTGGGTTAAATGTACACTGTTGAGTTTTTTGTACATAAAAATAATTAAAATAATACAAATTTTACTTCAAAAAAAATTAGCTGGGTATGGTGGTGCACGCCTCTAGTCCCTGCTTCTTGTGAGGCTGAGGTGGGAAGATCACTTGAGCCCAGGAGGTTTGAGGCTGCAGTGAGCCATGATCACACCACTGCACTCCAGCCTGGACAACAGAGTGAGACCTTGTCTCAAAAAAAAAAAAAAACAAAAAAAAATTCCCAACCCCCTTCAAGTAACTGAACAGACCCCATCTTGGCCAAGTGGACCCCAGAGTAACTTTGAAAACTAAGTTCTTGGGTGGGCATGGTGACTTACACTTGGAATTCCAGCATTTTCAGAGGCCAAGGCAGGAGGATCTCTTGAGACCAGGAATTCAAGACCAGCCTGGGAAACATAGTGAGACCTCATCTTTACAAAAAAAATTTAAAAATTAGCTCGGCTGACCGGGTGTGGTGGCTCACGCCTGTAATCTCAGCACTTTGGGAGGCTGAGGAGGGTTGATCATGACATCAAGAGATCGAGACCATCCTGGCCAACATGGTGAAACCCCATCTCTACTAAAAATACAAAAATTAATCAGGTGTGGTGGCACACGCCTGTAGTCCCAGCTACTCAGGAGGCTGAGGCAGGAGAATCACTTGAACCCGGGAGGTGGAGGTTGCAGTGAGCCGAGATCGCATCACTGCACTCCAGCCAGGCAACAGCAAGACTCTGTCTCAAAAAAAAAAAAAAATTATCTGGGCTTGGTGGTGCACACCTGTATCCCAGCTGTTTGGGAGACTGAGGAGGGAAGATCACTTGAGCCTGAGAAGTCAGGTCTGCAGTGAGCCATGATTATGCCACTGCACTCCAGCCTGGGCAGACAGGGTGGGGATCAGGCACACCTCCTTATATGCCCTCCCTCACTAACTATGATTAACCTTTCTTCCCTATGGACTTAGAAGAAACCAGCTCTTTCAAAAGATTCCACCACTGATGTCAACCAATGGGGATGCTGCCCTTTCTTTTTTGACCTGGTAAGAGACCCAGTAGGGTTTTCACCTCCTCTGCTTCACATTTTGACATCAGAGGGCCAAAAACCACACCTTCGGATCATGCCATTTTGGCCATTTTTTTGTTCACGGAACCCATGAAGGGGCATGACGCTTAGTGTTTCTCCTTTCATAAATATTCATGACTCCTCCTATAGCTTATTGAATATGTATATTTGGCCACACTGTCCAGCATACATTCCTGTTCCCTTTGCCCCTCCCTTGAAGTGTCTGTTTCTGGCTTCTGGCAGGAGGCTGTGCTTCACAGCCTGTCAGAATGGCCACCTGCAGGCTGCAACCCTTTCTGAGAAATAAAGTTCTCCTTTCCAGATTTATAAACCGCCTCATTCTTCAGTTGACAATGTATAGCAATGAAAAGACGGATGAAGACATAGATAGTGGTGGCTCACGCCTGTAATCCCAGCACTTTGGGAGGCCAAGGTTTCAGGATCGCTTGAGCCCAGGAGTTCAAGACCAGCCTGGGCAACATAATGAGACACCATCTCTACAAAAAATGCAAAAATTAGCTGAGCATGGTGGCATGCACCTGTAGTCCCAGCTACCTGGGATGCTGAGGTGGGAGGATCACTTGACCCCAGGAAGTCACAGCTGCATGATCGTACCACTGCACTCCAGCCTGAGCAACAGTGTGAGACCCTGTTTTTAATTTTTTTATTTTTATTTATTTATTTTTAAGACATAGGTAGCTAGAGTAATACAGAGATGAAAGGGAGATTATTCACACACGCTTCTTAAAATAGAAATTACTAAATTTTATTTTACTTAAAGTTAACAGAAAATGACATATTTGTGAAATTAAAGGAATTTTTTTTACTACTAGAGATATTAATTCCCAAAAGAGTCATTTAACACTAAGAAAAATTATTATGGTTACAAAAACTACTAAATGGGCATATTTCACAGCACACACACAGACATATGCACGCAGCCACACACACACAACTCTAAGAGTCATTCTGTGTTTTCTAGGGGAGAAAATATAATTTATTTTCTTTCCCTCATAGGTTCTTAGTTGAAACAGCCTCCTAAAAATAAAAGTCAGCAGAAGTTTGGCTGGGCGCTGTGGCTCATGCCTGTAATCCCAGCAATTTGGGAGGCCGAGATGGGTGAATCACCTGAGGTCAGGAGTTTGAGACCAGCCTGGACAACATGGTGAAACCCCATCTCTACTAAAAATACAAAAAGTAGCCAGGTGTGGTGGTCTGTAAGTCCAGCTGCTCAAGAGGCTGAGGCAGGAGAATCTCTTGAACCTGGGAGGCAGAGGTTGCAGTGAACCAAGATCGTGCCACTGCACTACAGACTGGGCAACAAAGCAAGACTCCATCTCAAAAAAAAAAAAAAGTTTATTAAGTCATTGCTGTACCCATCACACAGGAAAGGATTCTCAGTTCAAATGGATTTCTTTCTCAAGGCAGTGGCTTAGGGGCCTTGCTTAAATAGTTATTTTAACAAAGTCTCATAAATCCTATAGTGACAAGAGAGCATCTTCAGGTTTCCAAAAGGTAGGAAAATGTCAGAAGGTAAATCTATGGGAAGAGTAAAGTCTCTGGCGCTTTTGTCTATGAGCTTATAAGCAAACCCTGCAAAAGCCTATCTTTAGGCGGGAAAGGCAGAGAGGAGGCAGGAAGACCTTTTGTCTTTGTAAATTGCCTTCCTGCCATCAGGCAAGCAGGGGGAGCCGTCCTGCCATCAGGCAAGCAGGGGGAAGGGGAGAGTGTCCCCTGCCCTTTAATCTTCAGCTCTACAATCCCTAGTATATTACGGAGGAATATTTTGGTTTCTTTCAGTTTTAACCACATATTTCCACTTTTAAAGCATCCATTGACATCCTGGTACACAGTAAAACTTTCTCTTTGATAGACTGCTGCAGAAATCCCATTCCAAGAATGTCTGTGAGGACTTCATCACTGTTACACTCTCTCCCACTGCTCCCTTTTGCTGACCTCTTTATTATTATTGCTTAGAATTCTTCTTTTTTGGCTTATGGCTCTGATGTGGCTGGAAAGTGCACTGTCTTAGAAGAGGAAAAGGATAGCTTGGGATTTAAGCCTCATAAGGCCAGTATCATACATATTGTATTAGTCCGTTCTCATGCTGCTATGAAGAAATACCTGAGACTGGGCAATTTATAAAGGAAAGAAGTTTAATTGACTCACAGTTCCACAGGGCTAGGGAGGCCTCGGGAAACTTACAGTCATGGGAGAAGGGGAAGCAAACACGTCCTTCTTCACATGGCAGCAGCAGCAAGGAGAAGTGCTGAGCAATGGGGGGAAAGCCCCTTATAAAACCATCAGATCTGGTGAGAATTCACTCGCTATCATGAGAACAGCATGGAGGTAACAACCCTCACGATTCAATTACATCCCACCGGGTCCCTCCCACCACACGTGGGGATTGTGGGAATTACAATTGAAGATGAGACTTGGGTGGGGACACAGCCAAAGTATATCACCAAACCATATCATATTTAGCAGGTTTGAGGGAAAAGCTATACATATTTATAAGGGGATTGGGTAAACACATATGTCACATACATCCCACATTTACTTTGAGACCAAGTTTTTGCATTAAAAAGAGATGGAATTTGGCTCTTTACAACAAAAAGTGAACTACAGGATACACAGACAGTTTGTGCAAATCCTCTATAAGCTGCTGAAACTGGCCAAAGGCCTGTAGTAGCTTACCAGAAAAGAATGTTTGTGAGGCCCGTCCTCTGTCCAATCAGAGTTGTAGTGGTCTGGGTTGTAAATCAGAATTGATAGCTCCTATTGTTAGGGAGTTTAGCCAAAGGAATTTAGACATTTTCCATGCCAGTCAGGCCCTGAACTTACTCTGCCCATAGGTAACTTCATTTCCTGAAGCTTTGAGTGCGACTTAGTTGATAAAGCGGTGTCTATTTTGGTCTCTCAGATCACACACTTTCTTTTTCTTTTTTTCTTTTTTCTTTTTTTTTGAGACAGAGTCTCCCTCTGTCGCCCAGGCTGGAGTGCCATGGCATGATCTATGCTTACTGCAAACTCGGCATCCCAGATTCAAGTGATTTTCCTGACTCAGCCTCCCAAGTGGGTGGGATTACAGGTGCATGCCACCATGCCTGGCTAATTTTTGTGTATTTTTAGTAGAGACAGGTTTCACCATGTTGCCTAGGCTGGTCTCGAACTCCTGACCTCAAGGGATCCACCCGCCTTGGCCTCTCATAGTGCTGGGATTACAGGCCTGAGCCACCACACCCGGCTTCAGATCATACTTTCTTCCATGCCATTAATTTGTTTTTCAGCCTTGTTTAGTCTGTTTCTTGTTGCATCTAATTAATTTATTACATTTGTAATGTGGAGAAATATGAGTCAGTACAAAGTAGTAAGAAAGTAAGAAAAAGTAAAAATCAAAACCAAAAAAAGCAGAACAAAGAGAAAGTCCAAAATGGTGACTATCCTCTGTCTGTGTAGAAAAGACTGTGAATTAGGGCACACCTCCATAAGAGAAGTCACAGGGAGCCACATCTACCCACCCATATTTATGTCCTTTGACTTGCTTTTTTCTTCTTCTTTTGTGTTTATTCCTCTCCGCAAGTAAGTCACTGCACTCAAGAGAGAGACCGTTGGATAGGAGGGAGGAACAGGCGGTGTTCCTCTGGTGATCTTGGACATCAGATTATTTTTTTGCAACCTACAAAACTGTAAAGTGAAGTTTTGGCAGTTCCTCAGAAAGTTACCAGTATAGTTTCATACAATCCAGAAATTCCATTCCTAGATAGTGTCAGTGCTGTTTTTTTGTTTTGTTTTGTTTTTGAGTTGGAGTCTAGCTCTGTTGCTCAGGCTGGAGTGCAGTGGTGGGATCTTGGCTCACTGTAACCTCACGTATCGGGTTCTAGCGATTCTCCTGCCTCAGCGTCCCAAGTAGCTGAGACTGCAGGTGTGTGCCACCACAGCTGTCTAATTTTTGTATTTTTAGTAGAGATGGGGTTTCACCATGTTGGCCAGGCCGGTCT